GCAAGTTTGTCTCGATTTCATTTTTAGTAAGCGGTTCTTCCTGTTTTGATTATTTGATACTCTGAAGACTACTTATACCTTCGTATGCATCATCAAACTAGCATAGAAGTCTTATATTAGTATTAATGTAGTTAATCTTTTGATATTAGAATCATATGCGTATACCTATCAACATATTTCAAGTAAATCATCAACTATATGTAGTCTACATACAATTGACAATATACATAAATGCTGTATTTTTTTTCTTCATAAATTATAACTAAAATCCACCCTCGTATGTCTAAAGAATTAATATATACGATTAAACCTGTGTCCATATGGCTATGGGTACTCATTTAATCTGATTATAAAAATATCATTCTGCGCAATCATCATCTAAGATTATAAATCTGATAAATAATAGTAATAATCACTAACTTTCAAGGGAATATCAACGAGTTTCAGATATTTTTCTGAAGTCTGATCATAATTCCTTTTCATTACTATAATTGCCTAATGAATTATTTCTCTTAACTTATCTTTTGAATATCACGTATCATCTTTTATTAGTATAAAATAACAGAAAATATGATAATATGATCTGAAGGCGAATTAAGTAAAAAATTATAAATATTTTTATATAATGCGAAAGAAGACATAATGATGAAAAAAATATAATGTTAGAATTTCGCTGAAAAAAATAATAAGTGACAAATAACACAAATTCAATACACCTGCCTTTTTAAATCTCTGATGACTTTTTTATTTATGTTCTCTCTAACTCGCATTCATATTTGGGAAAGAGATAGGAGAAATATGCAAGGCACTTTACATCCGTGTTAGAGAATAAGAATATTCAAAATGTGTATTGAAGATCTCAACATTTATAAAGACGCTGGGGGTATGTATATACATACTTTTTTTTTCTTTATTTCACTTACCCGACTGCTCAGTAATAAAAGCCTAGTAATATTATATAAATATACTCTGGTTGAAATCTAGTAGGAATAGCCTCTAGCATCAGAGAAAACAAACTCATAAATAAATGCTATTTAGATAGATAGGGAAAAAATTTGAAAAATTTTGGGGACTTTGTCACATAAGCATAGTTTCACAGATGATTTGCGGAGTATCACTATTACATCATATATACTCTAACGAGGATCAAAAACGTGCTAATTTATGTTACACATGCTTACATACATTAGCTTGAGATGCTTCGCATGGTTGAATAATATATTATTTTATTAATATGATATTCAGGATCTTTCTTGAAAATACTTTATTAAAATTGTTATACAGTATATTAGAGGATCTAATCCTGCAGATCATGCATAATACCTTTGGCTAATTTCACTAAACGATCATCTATCATGTAATGTAAAAAATAAATTATATTAGTTAAACCAGTTAAACAATCGTGATTTTTGTTCCATCTTTCAATATTAATGTAATACCTTTTGGCTGATTAAGATGGTTTAAGTTATTTTGTTTTATATATTTAGATAAAATAAATATTTCGCTTGTATTACTTTGGTAATTTGATGATTAATAAGAAGTTGGTGAAATATTTTCTTGCCTGGCAGGTGAAATACAAGCTAGCTTGAAATTTGGAGCACTTGGCATAGTATTTTTTACTACAGTTGCTTTAGATTGTACATAATTTTTATAGCTAGCCGTAAAATTTTCATCATGATCATAAGATACTGATGCTAACTTATCCTTTTCTGAATGTGAGTTAGATTTGGAGAAAAGTTCTAGATGAAGGCAATTAATTTTAGCCTCTTCTTGTAATATGAATTGTTCATATTACCAGATATGAAATTCCCTTCTATCAATAGATTTGAGAATTTCTTCTCTTATTGCATATTTATTCGAAATAATATTTCCAGAAATACATCTCTTCAAGTGGTTATTACGATAATAATTAGCTCTACTAAAACCATTTTCAGGTATGAAAACTAAGGAGTCACATACACTACAATATATATAATTTGATGGAAGATCATGGACTTTATCATGTTCATATAAATTTCCATACATTATAATATATCTATTCTTAGAAAGAATTCTTGGGTTCTCTTCAAGTATTTTTCTAAATGGACCATAGATACGGGAGCATCACATTTCTGGTGTTTCGTGATCACGTCTTACTGTTAAAGGGCCTAATGCATCAACTAATCTTCTATATTTTTCAAAGTTTTTATCACTATAGCTTACTTGACATAGCTTGTAATAGGTTCTATTATCTAAATCCATATTAGTGTTTTAGTAAGATTTATTGATTTTATAGTGTTTTTAGCTGATTTCAGTGATTTATAACAGTTTGTAACAAGTATACTATAATAAATATCAGATTCATTTTTATTCAAGATCAGAGAGCTGTGCATATATTCACATGTGTATAGTTTTTTCCTAACATTATGGATCGGCTAAATCAGAACTGAGCCGATATAATGACTAAATTATTTTCAGATTAGCCAGATGCATCGCATGTCGTATACACAAGATTTGTATCACAGGTATCACCCTAGCTCTTAGCACTTCCCTAGCACTATTATGGTGCTGAGTTGTTTCTCAAAATCACGAGATGATCAGCTAATCAGAAGAATAATTTTTAACGTGTATATATCAAAATTTAGTAGTACAGTCACCCCTGTAATAAAGCAATCATATTATTTCACAACACTTATTGATATGAGCAGATATTGCATGTGCATTGAAAATGTATCAGATGTGTAAGGCAATTTAGCCAAAACAGAGTTTAGATCTAGTTTAACTGATACATGTTGTATAATGTCTGATATTTCGGCTAGATTGCATTGTATATCAGACTATCAGAAATTTTAATTTTATTAAATTTTTGTCGATCATTTTTAACTACTCAAAATTTTTTGGGTGCTGGCATATTCTAGAGGCATATGTTACATATGGTAACTATTCTCATTGTCCCACAATATTACCATTGACCACACTATTTGATGATTATTGATTGCCAATAGTGACATCATAAGATGGTGGTTGGATAGATGAAGTCGTAATGTTCATTCCAACATTCTCCCAGATTACCTGTATCACCATCTTCGTTACGAGGCATAGATGAAGCCTGAGATGAATTACGATATGGAGATTCCGAATGTGTACGACTTCTTCGATTGCTTTGTCTATAAAAAAATAATCATTAGTATGGAAATTATTAATTATGATAAACCCCTTGTACTTATCTTCTGGTTAGGTTAATTTCATAATGAATTAATAATGACCCATTATCTCTGAATTTCAGCTGAAAGGCAAGTTTGATTAACAAATTAACAAATTAACACAAACACAACCCACAAATCCCACCGCGTGAAAATATTTCTAAAATAGAACTGATAAATGATGCTTTCAAGCCTTTATTTTTTTATTCTTATACGATTAATGCGAAAAAAACAAATACAGCTAATTTAATCCTATTATTTTCCTTTTTTTACACCACTTCTAATTTCATTCAAAAATCACGTAATATTAATAAGCTTCATCATTGTATATATAATACAAATCCCAACTATTGCGAAATCTATAATCGAGTAGAGATCGTTAAAAACATGAAAGCAAGCGATCATATATATGTTCACAACGAAACGCATCACAAATTCCTCAACATTAGTAACATGCCTCACGTTACTGTTCGTATCCCACCAACATGCAATCATATTAACTTTCATGAAATCGAGATTGTGCCAAAAGAACACAACTCGAAGGCCCTTCTGCAACTGGATATTGGTTGGCCAGCAAGGTACCGAAATGGCATTTTCTTCGCAGGTGAAATGAACTATCCATGCTTCATTTGCAGGTAATTTCTTGTTATATATGAGCGCACATTCATAATGTTCTTTGAGCTCTTTTTTTATAGCTGAAGCTAAAAGTTCAAACGCAATAGTTGGATGATCAGATTGTGCGATGACTATGTCGACATATTTATTATTGATGTGCCCACTTGCACGATATTTTAGATGCCACTGTCCCGTTACTGTAAATCTACCAAGCCAGTTCGACATGATTCGGTAAAGCTTCGCATCATACACTGATTCTCTAGGAACTTCTCGATTATTTGCATTATTGACCAGCATACGTGCTAACTTAAAAGAGTTGCAGGACTTTATTGTTTCTTTATCAAATACACAGACAACTTGTTTCAAGGCCTTAAGGATATCTAAGGTACCTGTGAAAGGATTATAGGAGACTTTCGCTTGAGGCGAGGTCAGAAACAATTTTGGAATTATTTGTTGTAAAAAAAGCTAACGCACCAAAGGTGATGATAAATTGAAATATCCAGGAAGATTTTCATCAGGCATCAAACTCCTTCTGAAGCAAGAAAATTCATCAGATTACAATTGGTAAGCCGTACAGCCTCAAAAGCTGTCAAAAATTCAGACTGGAAGAGCTTCATAGCAGACTTAAAATGATCTTCTAAAAGGTCATCTTTCATTCTTTTAAAAGTTGAATATTCTAATACTTCTTCTGACAATGACATAATGCTGAAAATCTGCCATTTGTCGTAGTTCAGGTATACTCCCTATCTAGATTTTCCATTAGCCTTCTGTAGATCACACACTCACACAGGTAGATAAGACCAGTATGACTGTTGAGAAAAAAAAAATAGATCTTAGTATCATACAAATCAAAGTTTAGTATATCTTCGCTTACCCGTTTATTTGTATGTAGATATCTTGAACAATGTCATCATTAATAATTATATAATTCTCTTCTGCAAACTGTTTGTATATAGTCTGCACTTGTTTTAAGGTGAAGTTTGGGTTTATGAATGGCTCTTTAACATTAAAAGGTGATGTGTTCTTAACTGGCGCATCCAAATGCAAAATGCTGAATGGGTCAATAGCAATTATGGATTGGATGGCATAAATATCCTTGTTCATTCTAATACTGCGAAGAGTCTCTAGGCATGATAAGAGAACCTCATTATTCGCTCTATATAGTTTGTCAAATTCGTCGAAGAATAAAACTACTTTAGATGTTCAATTGCTATTAAAAAATGTGTTTAGGAAACAGCTGGCAGATTTAATTATAGGATTGCTTGGAGTGCCAAGATGTTGAACAGTATCACGTTGGAGAGCTGATCCAAGTGTACTCCAGAAAATGTCTTCACTTTCAGTAACCTTAATATCCTCAAATGACACACTGTCTGGGAAAACAAAAAAATGAGACAGTGGTTAGATTACGTATAATAATGATAGCAGATACCTGAAAAAATCATGCTTACTAGATGCGAATAAAGTTTTGTTTGTGCAAGTAGTTCATTATGTGTAGTACTCGTGTGGACTTTCCAGATGCTTTAGGCCCATGTAGAGCCACAAATTGACCTCGATGGATCTTCTCAAGAAGTAGACGACTCTCCTCTGTTGGATCCACGAAGTATACATCGTGAATTTGACTTGGTTGGATGGCATCATTTACTTCCCATCTCTTTTTTTTGGCGTAAAGATCGCTACTAATCAAATAAAATATTAGTGAGAATGGACACGACACAGAGCAAAGCTAGCTCTGTATACTCTTACACTCTTCCTCTGCCTTCTTTTTTCACTCTGATGACAAGTGAAAGCAAAAGTTAAAAAATGAAACGACAGCGAGAAAGGCATATATGTTTGTTATATTCAAATACAGTCATGGTACTTACCTTTTACGATAACGTGAATGTGTTTTTTTGAGTGGTTTGACGATAAGTAGCAGGAAAGGAAAGCACAAGATTAAGTATTTAGTATTATATGATTATATAATAAACAGGCAAATCATAGGAACGAGTAATAAATACTACGAAAATAACTGACTAGAAAGACGTTCATTGAATAACACGCGAGGCGTACAAATGTTAAACTATTTTATGATAGAACTTACTTTGACTATTCAAATTATTAATTAAAGTAGCAAATACCACCCTTTTTTCAAGCGAAAACTCACATTTCGTAAGCAAATCTTCAGTTAAATTAAGAAAAATGTAACCATTAATTTCTCCTTCATGAAATTTTTGAATTTCAGAGTCGTTTAATATCAAGTTCTTTTCTTGCAAGTAAGACTGCAAATAAATGATAAGTCAGTTCATATTAAATTTTTAAACGTCTTCAACAGAGGAATTAGAAGTAACACTTGTAGACATTTCGATTTTGAAAAAAAAAAATATAGTGGGACAAAAGTGCAGTTGGCGTTGTACTGTATAGTTTCAGAAAAAAGCAAAAAAAAATGAGGATTTGGGGTACTCATATTGAGCACCTTTATTAACATTGTTTGCCGGTGGGAATGGTATACTTGACGCACTTGACTCATTTGGTAGGGCTCTTGTTGGAATTCCAGAAAATGATGCTAAAGGGAAGGAATAACTGATTGAGCATATAATAATTCGACTAGTATAATATTGAATAAGGAATCCAAGATCTAAAATTAAAAAAATTTTTTTTGATTAGAGAAACCCGAAACTCTAAATAATTCAGTGACGCATGTGTTCTAACAAGTCCATGAAATATGCT